AAAATGTGGGACTGCTGTTGTCCCTGAATGGCACTGCTCTTCGCTGTTGTGTGGTCCAGCCAGCTGGAAAAGGGAAGGATACTTTTATTAGTATCCTTCTTAGCTTTTCTGCAGGTGATCAGAGCTCTCCTCTCTCCAAGGGGTTGGCAGAGCTCTTGGCTGTCCCCATGTGAAGGCTGGCATTGCCTGTCTCACTCCTGGCTGCAGAACTGCAGCCCAGCAGGGCTTCCACCACCTCTCCTGGCACTGCAAAACCAGTCTGGCAGGTGAGGATACCAGGAGTTACAGGTGTTGAGAAAAGCATTTTTACACTTAAATACTGCTCAGCTGTTCTGTAGTAAGCTAGATGGCGGGGCAGGGGGGGGGAAGGGTGTGAGGAATGACCAAAACTCCCTGAGTAACACCTGGGATGAGCACACTTCCTCCCTCTGGAAGAGAAACTGGCTGTGACACAGGTCTGCCAAATGAGCAGCATGGAGTAGGTGAATGCAGAGTAACCCTCACTGGGTGTTCTGATAAAACACTTAGAGATACCCAATGAAGCAAGCAAGTGGCAGCTCAAAACCAAAACATGGGCAGATACTTTTGCATTTAAACCATAGTGATGCTGTGGGACTGTGAGGCTTTGAGGACATTGCAAATGCTTAAAATTAATGTGAGTTCAGAAAATAATTAGAAAAATCTGTGAAATGAAGAGACATTGTTCCTGCCTTGGGGATTCCCCACCCTGTACCTTGCTGGAGGCTTGCCACGCTCTCTCTAGATAAGATAAGCTAGTGTGTTACAGGGACCTTCAGTCTAGCGTCTGTGGCCTTTCCTGTATTTTTAAACTGGACACTGAAAAATCTGCTGGGAGATAAGATGCACTCATCTCAGTATGCTGTTTTAACAACAGACCTCAGTTCTCCACTTGCTCTCTGGGTTTGACAAGCTGCTAAGCAGCGTAACACGCCGTGACAGATCTTCTCTGGTGACTGGAGCGTTTGCTGCTTCTTGGGGAGGTGGCCACAAGAAATCAGAAGCTATCACAGTAAGAGATGCAGCCAATTATGCCACATGATAGGTCATGCTTCTGCTTGTCTCCACAGCCCCTCCACGCCCAGCATTTGTCAACACGGCTAAGCATGTAGGTTGATCTCTGTGATGTTCTCTTCCCCAGAAAAGCTGTTAGAGGGAAGAAAGTCCTTTGGACACTCAGTGTGCTCCTCTGTTTGGATTTATGGCCTTTCCTGTAGCCATGATAATCCGTTTTGCCCACCTGCTTTGTCGTGGCATGTGGCAGGACCCAGCAGGGGTGGTCCTCCCACACTGGGGCATCATGGTGGTGCAGTGTCTGAGAGCAGTCTGAGCTTGCTGTGCACGGTGGGCATCAGGCTTTAAGCAGATGCTTAGAGGCACAAACAATTAGCTCTTTCATGACTCTACTGTTGCCAGAGGGCAATCCTGACCTAGGAGGGGTCTCCCACTAGCAGGAGGGGATGAGAGTGCAACTGTCTTTTTCCTTGTCACAGTCTGTCCAGAACAAATTTACATCAGTGGGCTAATAAAGATGCTTGCACCTAAGAGGTCACAGTCTACGGTAAAATCTGCCCTACAAATCTGCAAAGCTTTTGTGTTTCCCTTCCCTGCTGTTTGCAGAGGTGACGAGGCCAGGGCTAGGCAGGACACACAAAAACTGGCTCCATCGGCGTGAGAACTGTGGGGTCCTGGCTTTCTTAGGAATCTCTTGATTTAGGTGTTTGTACTGCATCATTCCTGTGATCTCTGAACTGTTTATTACCAAGGCTTTGAGAGGGAAGAGGATTATAAGCAATCTAACAAAATAAATCAAAGCTGTGTGGTGCTGCCTAAGGAGTGTAAAAGCATGAGCCTTAGGGTGAAGCAACCTGCGTATGGAGATCCTTTCTCAGCCCTGGTTACTCCTGCAGGCCTGAGTGCTTTGCAGCTCCTGAGACTGGCAGCAAAACCTCCAGGTGGAGCGGTCTGCTGGACCAGCTCACTTTCCCACAGCAAGTGCACCAAGTGGTTTGATTTTTACAACAGACCTCAGTTCTCCACTTGCTCTCTGGGTTTGACAAGCTGCTCAGCAGCGTAACACGCCGTGACAGATCTTCTCTGGTGACTGGAGCGTTTGCTGCTTCTTGGGGAGGTGGCCACAAGAAATCAGAAGCTATCACAGTAAGAGATGCAGCCAATTATGCCACATGATAGGTCATGCTTCTGCTTGTCTCCACAGCCCCTCCACGCCCAGCATTTGTCAACACGGCTAAGCATGTAGGTTGATCTCTGTGATGTTCTCTTCCCCAGAAAAGCTGTTAGAGGGAAGAAAGTCCTTTGGACACTCAGTGTGCTCCTCTGTTTGGATTTATGGCCTTTCCTGTAGCCATGATAATCCGTTTTGCCCACCTGCTTTGTCGTGGCATGTGGCAGGACCCAGCAGGGGTGGTCCTCCCACACTGGGGCATCATGGTGGTGCAGTGTCTGAGAGCAGTCTGAGCTTGCTGTGCACGGTGGGCATCAGGCTTTAAGCAGATGCTTAGAGGCACAAACAATTAGCTCTTTCATGACTCTACTGTTGCCAGAGGGCAATCCTGACCTAGGAGGGGTCTCCCACTAGCAGGAGGGGATGAGAGTGCAACTGTCTTTTTCCTTGTCACAGTCTGTCCAGAACAAATTTACATCAGTGGGCTAATAAAGATGCTTGCACCTAAGAGGTCACAGTCTACGGTAAAATCTGCCCTACAAATCTGCAAAGCTTTTGTGTTTCCCTTCCCTGCTGTTTGCAGAGGTGACGAGGCCAGGGCTAGGCAGGACACACAAAAACTGGCTCCATCGGCGTGAGAACTGTGGGGTCCTGGCTTTCTTAGGAATCTCTTGATTTAGGTGTTTGTACTGCATCATTCCTGTGATCTCTGAACTGTTTATTACCAAGGCTTTGAGAGGGAAGAGGATTATAAGCAATCTAACAAAATAAATCAAAGCTGTGTGGTGCTGCCTAAGGAGTGTAAAAGCATGAGCCTTAGGGTGAAGCAACCTGCGTATGGAGATCCTTTCTCAGCCCTGGTTACTCCTGCAGGCCTGAGTGCTTTGCAGCTCCTGAGACTGGCAGCAAAACCTCCAGGTGGAGCGGTCTGCTGGACCAGCTCACTTTCCCACAGCAAGTGCACCAAGTGGTTTGATTTTTAACTATTTAAAACAAAAGAAGGAGTTGGCTGTTTGGTTTCTGTTAACCTTTTCCTTCTTATTCCAGTAAGATAAAACATTCTCAGGGGGGGAAAAAAGGCTATTTACAAAGTAGCAGCCTTTATTCTTTTTCTAATTGACTACCATACTGATGAATAAGTATGAGTCTTTGCTGAAAATGTTTTCTGAAGTACTTTCAGCCCACATGTCATGGGTTTGGTAAAAATAAATAAAAGCTCTAGAGAAGCAATTACTGTGAAAACCGTGTCCCTAGATACTTTTTTTTAAAATAAAATCTGTCCCAGAAATTTCTATAAATGTCTTTGTAGAAGTAAGATTGTGCCTGAGAACCCAAGAGGGTAGATGGTTGGAACCAAGCATGGTAATGCTGTGCCAACCTGGATGAAACATAGGTTTAAACAGTAGAGATTCAGTAGTGCTTTTTATTACTGTTTCTGTTTTAACTATTTAGAGTGGTATCAATAGTTTCTCAGATGATAAAGGCTATAATTTTAGTGTGACAAGCATAGCCATACTTGCCTCTAAGAAATATGAAATGTTGTTTCCTTCCTTCCTTCCAAAAATTATTTTCAAATAATTGCAGAGTTTTAACGACAATGCCCATTCCTTTTATGAGCCTTTTAATGTGGTATTTCTTTGTAAGCATTAAGGTCAGATGCCTATTCTTTTTTTCTAACATGTTGTTACACCATTATGAAAAAGACACACATTTGGGAATGTATCATCCTTAAAGTAATATAAATCTGTGAAATGATGTCAAATGAGCAAAGTTCAGCTGAAATACTTGTGCTCTGCTTCGGCTGTGCCAGTTGAAGGAAGAGGTGCACCATCTGGAGACAGCCCAAAGCAGAAAGACAAATAGGATGGAGACCCAGATTTGAGGAACCTGAAGGAGCTGAAGCTGGTTAGCATGGAGGCTGAAGTGTAAAACCTTGTCAGGATGGCTGCAAAGGGAGCATCCCCATGACAGACAGGATGATCTAACAGGGAGATCTGGGGCAGGCAATACGAAGAAACTTCTTGCTGCTAGTTAGCTAAGCACTGAAATAGGTGGTCCAGGAGGGCTGTGGCTGCCATCCTCACAGGGGTGGATTACACGGACAGAGAGCAGAGGTGATGCAGGCCGTGAGGTTAGGGAATGGGCCTGGTGATCTTCCGATCATGTTTGCCATGAAAGCTGGGATTTAATAATTTTTAATGACCTGGCTCCCAAGGCTATGGCTTTGGGAGAAAAAGCCAAGTATGATGAAACCCACAGTCAGCTGATGGGCTTGGAAACAGTGGAAAAATCCCATCTGGTGAGCTAGAAACTGCCTACATGGGCACAAACAGAACTTACTGCCCTCAGGTTGGCCAGGAGAGAGGAAAAGGAATAAAGTAGCAAAGCAACACATCATTTACTCTTCCTCCACGCCCTGCAGCCTCTGGCCATTTTCAGTGTCTGTTGAAAAGTTACGTGATCTGCACCCATACTGTTTGAACAGCAAATAGCAGTGCAGCATGCACAGTTATTAGAAAATGAGCAGCCTCTGGTATTTTATAGCATAACATGCAGCAGTACCACTTGCAGGTTGCTATTCTGTCATTTTCCAATTACTTTGCAAAGGTTGGCTCCTTATCCTCAGTCTCATTTAGGGCAGAAAGAAGTGAGGAAAAGAAGAATGGAGGTAAAAAGCAAGCAATTTGGTAATTTAGATGCATATTTTACTTGTATCGTGCTGAGTCAACTGTTTACCTGTTAGTAGGAAGGCAGCTACAATAAAATACTGTCTTGGTTAGGTTAATACCACGTGAGGAGCTGTAGGACGAGGAGGAAAGTAGGGCAGCTTGTTTTGGAACTTGTGCTGAAGAACAAATAAAAACCCCCAATGTACACATTCGGTTACCATATGTCGCGCTTATCATAAAAGGCATCTCAGTGTTATTTCTTTGCAGGGATGCTTGAACTCCACGGAGGCAGACTTTCCCGATGAGGAAAGCGCATGCCAGAGGTGCTGGGGTTGCCGTTGGTGAGAGGAGCTTTCCTGGCTGTCGAGGCAGCTCAGGCGGGCGGCGAGCGCTCTCCTTCCCGTGCTTGCCTGTTTGATTGACGTTGGCTTCCAAATCGCTGCGACTGTGCCTGAAGAAAACCGAAGGAGCATAATTTTGCTGAGAGAATTTTCCTGGCAGGGGAAGGCATGCAGTGCAGAGAAACGTGCCAGCGAAGAGCCTGGAAGTGCAAGTCCAGGTGCTAACGCAACTTCCACCCAAGCCATGCTGTTGTGAAGTCCTTTTTCTCCAGCCCCATCTTGCTCAGCACACCGGTGCAGGCTGCACGGGGGGCTGCCCATGGCATTGCAGTGCTCCGGGCTGGATTAGTTCCTGGTGTGTCATTGCTTCAGCTGTCTGAAGAACTGAAGAAGAGTGCAGGGAAGATGCTGGACTTGAGCTTCCTGACCGAGGAGGAGTATGAGAAGCTGATGAAGGTTCTGCAGAGAGATGCAGAGCTGAAGAAGAAGGATGGGGATCGCATCAGGTGAGAGAGCATGCAATAATAGCAGGATGTGAGCTTCCCCTGCAAGGATTTTTTTTACTTCTTTTAGAGAGGGGGTTGTGTGTGTGTGTGCAACAAGGAGAGGTGCAGGCTGCAGCAGTGCTGTCGCTTCTTCCTCAGATCCTGTCGGGTCTTTTCATTGCACCTTCTGCTTTCTCATCCATCCTGCTGTCGCTGCTGTCTTCTCTCTGCAGGATTGCAGGGTTGGACTCTCCTTTGAGTTAATCAGCAGCCCTCAGAGATGCCAAGGGGAATTATCCCTTTCCTGCTCTGGGGAGGAAGATGCTGATTTCTTGGTGTCAGAGGTCCAAGCAGGAGAGTAGCTGCTATCTTGTTTTCCTCATCTGGTAGCACAGAAATCCCACAGATATTGCTTTAAAATGAGACTTTACATTCCCACCTCTGCTTTGTGTCCCTTTGATGCTCTTTGAGGTGGGTGTGTATGAAGCTTCCATCCTGCAGGCAGAGAGGGGCAGTGAGAGGCTACATGACATGCCAAAGGTTTGTGGGGAGCCCTTGCAGAGCCAGGAGTCACTCTCAGTTCAGGTCACTTGCCACTGGCCGTCCTGGAGCTCAGGTCTGGTGGATGGGGATTGCTTGTTGCTGCTGTCACTTTTTAAATGCCAGCCATTAGACCATCTGGGTTGACAGTAGGCACCAGGCTCTGGAAGCTGGCACCAAATTCTCCACGACAAGAAATGAGTAGTTCAGTGAATGTGGATGGCCCTCTGCCAGTTTACCCCTGTTAGGGATGTGGTCTTTGACTTGCTGTTGAACCAAAAAAGAGTAAGCCCCATGTAGGAGGGGTGCTCAAGGTTGGAAGGGGGAGTGGGTGGCTTGGCAGCAGGCTCTGGGGAGCCTTCATGCCCTGGCCTCTGCTTGGGGGTGAGAGCTGGGGAAAGAGAACTGGTGGTGGCATGCAAACGGCTTGGGCTTGAGGTGTATGTCTGCATGCTTTTACATCTCTGAATTGAAACAAGGTTTCAAAAAGGTTTTCTCTTTTAATTCTGCTTTTTTTCTTTTTCTGGAATGCAGTAAAATTTCTGCTCTGATGTGGAGGTTTGGGGAAAAGAGTATTTGGGTTATTTCAGTTTTAGAACCTGATGGGGGTGGTTCCAAGCCCCACTTGCCATCAGTAGGGCTGTATGCAGTAAGACCTTTGGTGCGAGTGTGAACGCGTTTGGCTCCAACACAACTTGCCTGCTGGGCAAAATGTAGTCAGTGGCATAATGCTGATCTGGTGTCAGCAAGATTAAAATATGTTCCTACGTCTCCTCTGGCCCAGCACCTCAAGACCCTCCTGGGGGCAGATGCAGCCCTGATCTAGATGGGAGCTGTGCATCTCCCTGGCTGTTGGTCTTGTTGCCTGTGGAGGCTTGAGCCTGGTTGTCCCATACCTGCTTCCTTCTGGCCTTTTGGCCTCCAAATGTGACCCTTCAAGGCTCCACGTTTTTCTGGGGGTTTTCCCCCTTTTCCTGCTGAGAATTGGGCGGAGATGGGAGTTTCCTTTGGCCTCTTGGGTCTCGCAGGGACCCTGAATTGTGGTGAGCTGTGGGAGGCAGCTAATCCAGCAAGCTGTGGTGTAAAAACAAAATAACCAGAGGAGGGTTAAAAGTGCAGGCTAGCAAACAGAGCACTTGAGGGGTTTAGGTGCCAAAAAACAGCCCTGGGTGTGCCCAGTAAGTTACAGTAGGCGAAGCTGGGCTGAGGAAGGAGAGCTAACTGTTTCAGTGCCAAAATCGGCATGGCTGGAGGAGCAGTGTTTGGGGAAAACGCTGCAGGGACAGGTTGCTCCCCTGAATAACATGATTTATTTCCATGGTTTGCATCAGGTTTGATCCAAAAAGCTTTGCCTCTCATAAAGAGATTAATAGACAAATAAAACAGAACTGCAGGACCTGCAAACAGACCCACCCCTTCCCAAGCCCTCAGGGCTGCAAAGCAAATGGACAAATCTCCTTGCCAGGTGACTCTGATTTGGATTTGTAAAATTTGGAAGAAGTGAAAGCCTGTGTTTACAAGATACTGTTCCTACTTCAGATAAAGAATAAATCAGCTTTTGTTTTAATGCTTGTTTGGCCCTTGTGAATAATCTGTGCACCCTTTGTAGTATCAGACAGGTGAACTGTATGAACAATTGTTATGAAGGTAGCTCAGGGGAAGTCAAAACCTTGGAGATCCTTTTGGTGTGTAATGTTCTCATTGACTTTCAGGCGGATACAAGGCTCCATCAAGGATGAAAAGAAGAAGAAGTTTGTGACAGGTGAATGGTTTTCAGAAGTGAAGGCAAAACGGTTTCAGGAAGACTTAGAGGGGCCAGATCTACTTCGGGCATCAATTAGAAGGAAAAAAGGTAAACTAGAAAGTAAGTATGTTAGTGTGCATCTTAAGAAAACAAGTTGGTGGACCAGAAAAAAGTGGTCAAGCATGGGCATCTCCATGTACCGGGAGGTTGTTGGGAACCAGCCTTTGTGTTGGGATAAGGGGTTTCTCAGCTAGGCTTTCAGTACTAGGAAAAAAACCCTAATTATCAAAATCAAAAGAAAAAATTGTGGTGTGGCAGAGGACCAAGGCAAAAGCTGTTTACCAACTACATGCAGTAAATGCCTTTTCCCTACTCCAGCTTCTTTCTTCCAAAATGTCTGTCAGAGGTCATTGGTATCATTTCTTGTCATAGAAGCAAAAAGGGAAGGGGATGACAAAGGGTAATTTCTGGCATCAATTTGATATGTGCAGGTCAACCACCCCCCAAATTCCTAGAGTGGTCTGAAAAAAGCAGCCAGCCAACAGCTCTCACAGGCCTCCAGGATGGTGGGGTCAGTCACCTCTCTGCAAAAGGAGAGGGTCCCTCTCTTCTCCTGGCAAATATTTGCCCACTTGAGAGGGTCCATGCCTAGCTTTTTATGTGGGAATAATTCCAAGGCACAATGTGATTTTCAAAGTGAAAAGGGCTTTGGGGCCAAGCCTGAATGGTAACCAGCTGCTATGCCATAACAAGGGTATGTCTGCAACCACGTGCTGATTCGAAGCAGATGTATTGCGTATTGTTTGACATGCAAATGAGCTCTCATGGTGGTATGTAAAACAGATCAAATCAGATTTATTGGCTCAGGGCAGAGAGGACACGAGATCAGCCCCAGGTGAAATGAGTAAGACTGCTTTGAGTCCACATGTAGCCAGCCTGGAGCTGGCACTTGGTGCTGAACATTTGTGCAAAGCAGAACTGGGAATGATTCACATCCACTCTTCAACATGAAGACAGGCCGACGGACTCCGCAGCAGGACTGTGGGACTGCAGCCCAGTCTCACACAACCTCCTTGATAATTTGTCAGGGTGGGTAATCACAGATACTCAGACACGGCTGCTGCTGCTCTGGGGAAGCCACGGCCTGATGGCTCCAAGCAAAGTCTACCCTGGTCCCTAATACAAGGACCCTATGATTGGGCTCTGTTCTTTTGCAGTAAAGCCTACTCATAGATCTTCCATCTGTCCAAAATTCAAATGTCATCTCCAGCAGTTCAGTTCAGCCCCCTCTCCTGGGCCCAGCTGCCCATTCCTGCTGTGGAGTATCGGCAATACAGGCCGCTCCTTTGTTTGGTGGGCCTCGTTGGGCAGGATATCTCTGTAACATTAGTTGCCTGGGTTTAGTGTACCCCTCTGAGCCCCACATTCCTTAGACGCATTCTCAGAGCTAAAAGCTGACTAGGGACTTTGCTAACTGAGAGCCTCATTTTCTTTTTGCCTTTTACTTATCCCTGACAGCTCTCGTAAGTTAGCATAGATTCATTGAAGCCTCTGATGCAGAACTTGACCATCATATTTCATATGAAGTTGCTTTTATCCTTGGTATTAAGGATTCACAGTGTCATTAAATTTACTATTTTATCATCCCTCCAGAATGCTAAAGCATATAAAAACTTATCCAGCTCAACAGTTGCCTAGCCATTTCTGCAGAGCGTGCTCTCTGTTTTTGAGGGTGTGTCTCTGTGCTTGCACCCTCTTTGCATGAAGAGACAGATGCTTCAGCAGCCCCTCTGCTGGGGCCCAGATCAGACAAATGCTCTATCATCTGCAGCCCAGCTGGTAGCCAGCAAGGAATTGGATTCAGCTGCCTGTTGCCTTGTTGCCAGAGGCATCATCACCCTTAGCTTGCAGTGCATTTCAGGAAAGCAAAATTTGAAGTACTGTTTGTTTTAGATTTAACTTTTACTGCTGGTGTGTACACATGAGATGCGGTCTCAGGTTATCATCTAAAATAATCTCCTTATTAATATACCAGTAATAGGCAAGTTATGTCTTTGCATGTGCAAAGAAGGAACTTTGCTGTTTTGGGAAGGAAGAAGCAAATGTTACTGAACTACTATAGTAATTATGTTTAGATTTAGCCCTCTATTTCTTTTTCAACTTTTTTTTTCTTCACTTTCTTTTTTTCTATTCTCAGACTTATTTTGGTAAAGTGTGGGTATGACATAACTTTGTTCCTTCCTCTTACTTTTCCTGCGGCCATTTTACAGCAGTGATTGAGGATCAAGATTCTGCAGCTGGTATTTTCACTTTGCTGTTGCCTGTTGTGTGCTCCGTTCCTGCAGTGGTCACTGTGTAGATTGCCTCCCTTCACATGAGAGGGCAAGTGCTTCTCTCACTGGCTTGTCGGCAAGAGTATTGCACTGGAGAGAGCAGCACTTGGCCCACCAGGGAACAAGGGTGAGACCCGTCTACAAACAGCCTGGCCATGCAGCTCACCTTCTATTCGCAGTATATGATATAAGGGCCTTTGATTGCCTTCTTGACACTTTTTTTTCTTCTCCTAGAAAGATCAGAGTCATTCACTTTCTGTTGGCTTTCAAGGTGATGAAGGGGTGCGTGTTCATTTAGCCAAATCAATGTAATATTTTCATAACTCCAGGGTTTTTAATCCTAATATAAGTCTTTGATGATTGTGTTGGGGAGTGAAATGAGAAAATTCCTGCATGGAAAAGCCCGCTGAGACAATTGCTGCCATTCTCTCTGCATGGTAATGGTAAACAGGCTGAGGAGGGGTGGAAATTGGTGCCTGCACAGGAAAATGCCATGACCTTTTCTGGAGGAAGGTTTTAACCTTCAGAAGGCAGGGCTGTGTGGACCCCTAAGGGTCTTCACAGTTGGTATTGATTACAATAGAAAACACTAGTAATCACCAGTAATATAAATCTATAAAATAGATAGATACCCTATATTTAAATTACAACCTGCAGAGCAGCACAGATGGATGAATTTGGTGATAACTTCTTGAGCTTGTATGCAATGGATGGGAGCTAAAAATTGTCTAGGAGAGAGACCATTTTATCCACCCAGCAGGGCAAGTTGGCACTGATGGCACGGCTAGCTGGACTTTTCCCAGGTGCTGAGTGTCTTCATTTTAGAGTGATAGGAAACGAGTGAAGCAACTAAACTGTTAGAGCAGGAGTGGCTGTATACGTATGTATATAGATACATGTATGGACGAGTTAAACTGGTCAGGCCACTACTAATTTCTGTTGGAATTTGCTGCTTATTCTGTCTCATCCTAAAGTTAGCAAGGGAATTTTGCTTGTCTTGATAGATTATAATGTACTGATAACCTATTGTGGTTATGGAAGCCAGGTGTAGCTATGTCAGTGGCTGAGCCATTGTGAAGGGCAGTGATCTGGATGGGAGGAAGGGAACACCTCTGGCAGCTGGGAGGGGGGAGCTCTGTCTGAAGGGGGAAGTGTCAGTGAAAAGCAAATATGATGCAATGCCTTTGGAAGTGGAAATGAGGTGAGAAATTAATGCAGTCGGTGGTTGTTGAAGTCTTTTCAGCCATGACAGGCAGAGGGAAAACATGGGAGCTCTGTGTTTCATTCCTCTACTTCCAGTGCAACTACCTGCTGGCATCTCCCTCCCTTGGGTCTGGGGCAGAAGAGGAGGATGTGGCTCACTGTATAAATAAATGCTCTTCAGCATGCTAGTGTGCCTTCCAATGTCTGCACATGATGTGGCCAGCACTTGCCATGCCACAGCTTGTCACTCCCAAAATGATGTTCCACATTCACAGAATGCAGTCCCTCTCTCAGAAATGTGCTCTCTAAAACCAGCTTGTTCTTACACAGCCAGACTCCTGTCTTCCAGCAGGAGCTACTCCCCAACTTCCCACCACTGCAAAAACCACAGGGCCACCCAGCTGCCATCTCTTGGGTGTGCCAGAGATGTGGTCCTAATACAGACATCCCTGAGCAGTGCCTGCTGTGGTCCCCCGCACCACAGGGCAGGCACTGGATGGGGAGGAAGAGTTGGGACTGCAGCATTTTTCTCCATGGGGATGCACAGGCAAGGGGGAAGGAAGCTCCTTCTTGGGATATCCCTGTTATCTGCAAGCTGACATGGATATCACGGCCCGTCTGTAGGACTGTTCTTCCCTTGGGCTTAGTGCAGTTTTCTAACCAGGTAACAAGCAAGGCTGTATTATTTAATGTCACATCTGAATCCTTTGAGCTTCTGATTCTATTGTATTGTGTAATGAAACATATCCTAAAGAGATTTGGCAATTTTTGTAATGGGTATATTTACTCTTTAAAATAGACCTAGCTGCATGTGAATAAATATGTGCAGATCTTGTTGACCAGACTAGTTTTTCATTGCTGTTTGAGAGTTTAATCCTTTTGGTTTTGCAGTAGCAAGAAAGCCTGTTTGCCAGCAAAATGTCTAATGTGACTTTATACCCTGGCAGGCAGCTCTAAAGATTACCGTCTTCTATTGTTCTTTCTTTTGGGTCTTTGAGAGCTTAGAAGACATAGCCTTGTGCCAGTAAAAACAACAGGGATCTCCTCATTAACTGTATTGGCCTCCTCCTTTGTTTGCCAAGATCGGATGACTTTGAGTCAAAACAGGAAATGGCTGAATTTAAATCCTGGTACGGATTAACTTTATTGACAGCCAGAGCAGCATCCTGTGAAGGTTTCCAGTGGTAGAACAGCTCCTGGCGTGAGTCGGGCGTTAGGCAGCCCCCTTTGGGCTCCTGGACCCATGGGGTCTGGAGGTGCCTTTACCACGTAGGGACCACAAGCGATCCTGCTCTGGGGCCGTCTTCTGTTAAATCTTCAGGGTTTGTGCTGGTGGCACTCATTGTCTTCTCTTCCCCCAGACAAAACACACTGGCCATTACAAGTTTAAATACATGTCATTTCTCAATTGTCTCTGTTAAATTACAGATGAGGCCACCGAGCACATCTGGACGGGTCTGGAAAGCAAAGCTGTCCTGAGCCCTGCCTTCCCCGAGCACGCTGCTGGCGCAGGCGAGGAGAGGTAACTGCTGCTGCTCCTGCAATGCTCTGGCTGCTGCTCTTACTTCTAATGAAAATAGAATGCTACCCATGAAGCCCTGGTCTTTAACTGAGTTTCCGAGACTGTATAAGTAATAGGTTATATAGGATATTTTTAAAATCCATTTTCCAGGAATTGTCAGAATATCAATCCTCCCCCAATAACTAAGTGCTAATGTGCTTATCCCAGGAAGGTCTTTTCATGCATGATTTGATAAGGGGTCAGTAAAATGGAAGCTGTCTCTAATGTCAGGATATTCTAGTTAGTTTTTAAAAGTAATTATGGTTTTATTTGTTTAATTTTTGCCATGGAGAAACACTAACAAAATGAACTGTTTGAGGAAACTGCTCATTTCCTGCTGGTGCCAACCTCTGTGTCCAGTGCTCAGCACTCTCCATCAGGGCTTGGTAGGATTTCACATTGTTCTGACTGAGCAGAAACACCCACCAAAAGCATTCCAAAGAACAAATAGGGGACCTTACTCAATATTCATGGGCTATGTAGAAGCCATTAAAATACTCATATATTCATTTATTGTTGTTCCCATCTCATTTGCAATTTTTTGTCAGCAGAATGAGGATTCATTGTTCACAGGTGGCAATTGCTCCAGTTAAATATTAAATATGAAGCTTGACAGCACTTCCAGACCTCTTGCAGCTGATCATTGGATGTTGCTTAATGAAGGATTTTGGGTTTTGGGGGGGTTGATTAAATCCTGATAAGCTTCCTTTGTTTTTCTCATTCAGCCCTAAGCACAAAGCATACCCGTATGAAATTTCACAATCTTGACTGCCATTCTCCATCTGGAGAGCAGCCACCTCTAGGCACTCCCAAAGATGGTAGAAACAGTCAGGTAAACTGCCTGTGATATTTGTTTCTTCCATTTATTTACAAGGCAGTTAGTTAGTGATTAACTTGTATTCCAAACATAAAGATTTATATCCTGTACTATAGTTTTGCCCTAACCATTGTTGTCATAATAATTCCTGTAGTTTCTAAGTCCTCGGTCAATCTGGTTGTGCCTTTGGCCTGAACTGGGAGGTGTGGCCTGTTCCTCCCTGGGCCTCAGCATGGAAAGGCATCTCTCTCCAGCATGGCTCTTGGGCTTTTCTGGCACTGCTGCTTCCTGTGTTTTCCCCCACAATTTTCTCCCAGACAGATAAAGTCTGAATAAACCTAGTTGTTTTTACGGAGCAAGCTCTGTGCTGACTACAGTAGGAGACTTGTCCTTACTCCAGGTTCAGGCCATTTAACATCTTCCCCAGTCCTTCTAGCCATAATGGAGAAAAGAAATGAAGGCGCCAGCTCTGGACAGCCTGATGTTGGGCTGGGTCAGTAGATAAAAGTGGCAAAGTAGCTGAGCAGAACTGAGACGGCTTTGAAGACTGCCTGATCACCCTGCCAGGCACATAGCTACCACTTATCTCCTTGCTCAGATGTTTCTCCTCTCCCACAGATTCAGCATACCTGCTCATGATACTGCAGAGGAGCGTAAAATTTTGCCAAAACCAAAGCCAAGACTTCCTGTCCCGCTGCCTGCATCACATAAGGTAGTGTGGGCACAGCCTCTGTGCTTTGTTTCCTTATTCCTTCACACAGGGGCTCCACAGGCTGCCTGCCCCTGTGCCTGCGCTCAAATAAAATACATTCTTCCAGTCTTGCCATTTGACATACGCTGATAGCATTTGTTTTCCATTCAGAGATCCAGTATACATGATGTCTCCTCCTCAGAGAGTGACACAGGAACAAGTCCATTTGTGGCTGCACCAAACAGCCTGCATTTATCTAAAAAAGGTAAGGTTTTTGTTCAGTGAGCCATTGGTACTTTTGTTATTCAACATCAAACACTGAGAGATTAGATGCTTTTTTGTGTATGTACAAATCAATAACAAAGAATATTTGTTACCTTGCCATGCAAGAACAGGCCGCCAACATTTGTATGCGTTATGGCCAAGGCAGCAGGGACCAAGAAAATAAAATACAATTACTAAAACTTCTCCTGGCTCTCAGTATGTTTTAAACTGAGTGCTTGGCTCACAATTCCTTAACCCACAGATCCAAGTCACCTTCTTTTTTCTGCCTTGAATGTATAGTGTATTTTTGGTACATAGCAAATAGCCAGTAGGAAAGCTGTCAAACTGAAAGCAAAGCTGCAAACAAATCACCAGCTCACAGCAGCAATTTAGAGCTCAGTGGATTTTTTCCATGTCCTGATGCAGTAAGAAGGGCTGGCATTTTCAGGGCTTTCTTTAGGGGGAAGGGGGCTTGCTAGAGTCTCAGAATGGGGAAGAGTTAGGAACATATTGATTGTTTCTGGAAACTCCCCCTGGCTTCTCTTTGAGAAGCTGCAGCCCAGACTTTCCAGGGAAATACAATGTGATGGGATGGGACAGGCTGTGAGCATTTGTTGTCGTTGTAGGTCATGGAGTATCTCCATTGCACACCAAGCTTTCAGAGGATTCTGTGCCTCAGCCCAGCGGTGCAGCTGGAGCAGAAGCTGTTGATGGGGCCGCTGGCACCACAATGGGGCCAAAAACTCCACCCGAAGAAACTTATACTCCCAGCAAGATACCAGTTAAGAGGAAACCAAGCAGAACTTTCCCCAGATCCGAGCAGTTTGGGAACCACGTGGGGCTGGCAGAGAGCAGCCTTGCAAAGAGAGAGCTGCTGGCAAGCCCCAGACCACTGACTCCAGAGGGGGAGAGCAGCCAGGCTGTGAAGCAAGGAGTGAACTATACAATCTCATCGATGAGTAACAAAGAGGAGGATATCGGTCTCGATCGTGAACACTTCAAGAACTTGAAGAACTTCTGGGAGAAGGGGGCAGACTCTGTGAAGGTGGGAAACACGTCGGAGGACCCGAACTCTGTGGAAGCAGATGGTAGGCAGTTCAAGCTGTGCCGCTCGCTCTCCGTGCAGTCTGGGCAAGGCCAGGACAGCGAAGAAAAGCCTGACACCTTCATCAAAACAAGAACCCCCTACAAAAGGACAATAACCTTGTCTTCTGGTGAAGAAGAACCAAGCTATGTAGCCCCTGCAAGGAAGGGCTCAGTTTCCATCGTTCCTAGGTCCACATATGCCAAGAGCAAAGGTGGCCTGGTTACAAGAAGTGACTCGCTGAGTGAAAGCAATGGGAAGCCACCGATGCCAGAAGAAGAGAAGATGGCACAGCACTGCGCCAAGAAATCCAGATTGCCTGTGCGTGCGCCTTCCGTCAAAATCAAGTCGCCTACCAAAGAAGTGTCTGGCAGCACGTTGGAGCCAGAGACGCCCACGGACGAGTTGATGGTGGCAGAAGAGCGCAAGCACGCACCGAAATCCCTGGCGAGCAGGGTGCAGATACTCATCGAGCCTGTGCTTACAGATGGTGAAAGCGATGATGAGAAAGAGGAAAAATCTGATTTGGGCACTCATGACAACATGGAAATAAATGGAGAGCTACCTGAGGAAAAAATGTGTGAGTCGTCAGACAAGGCAACAGCCGGTGAAGCAGCCGCAGAGAGAGAAGCTGTTCAGGGAACAGACTCGGCTGTTTACTCAGGTACTGAGGGCTGTAACCACACCCTGTGAAATCCCAATAGAGAGTCATCCCTAAGCCTGTTTTCTTCCCTGGCCCTTCTGCATTTTGCACATTTTCTTCATTTGTCCATTTATCCTATATTGCAATTTGTACAGAGTTAGTGTGTGTGGAATATGTTTAGCAGCAGCTCTGGAAACAAATCTTGTGTAGCACAGTGTGAGTGTAAAAGGTGACAGCACCCTGTTCCCCTGCCTTCCCCCCTGCTTCCAGCCCTCAGCCTTACCAGCCAGCACCTCAGCTTGGGACAGCCCTCTGTTTCTTTAGCACTACCTACAACAGGTCATGGGAACTTACTTTATTTCACTCTCTGGGAAGACTGTACTTTCTTCAAATGTGAGGCTGGAAAAATTCTTTGTCCTTGTAGAGATAAGTCTGACACAAATAGAAGAAACAAAATGTGAAGGAAAATGTTTAATAAATACTTGAGCTGTTATGCTACTTTGGTACAGCAATGTTTCAATTACGTTTTGGGTCTTTTGGGAATCCACAAGCGAATTTGGATATTAAACTGCAACCATAGTGGGCTGAACACAGAGTCTGATCTTTCTGGCTTCTGATACCATGGTGGTGTCAATAGAGTCACCACTTCATCGGTCTCTCTCTGGGTTTGACAGGCTCTTGTAGTGAATGTTAGTATGAGCAAAAGTTATTGTTAATTGCAATTCATTTTACATGTGGGCTCTGGTTGCCCACGGCTTCGCTGTCTGCCGAGCAAAGACCTAGGAAGAGAGAGCTTGCTATCCTCTTTTTTTTAGATTTCCTGTCCTCATGTACCCGGATAAGACCTATTTGAGAGGATTTTCCATAGACTCATCTGATTTTGATTTTTAACTCTGTCATTTCATGGTTTATTTCCTACCTGTCAACATTTCTATGAAAATCCTGACTTGCGTTTCAGGTAAACATAAACGTTTCCTTTCTGTACCAGAGCGTTCTTATATTTCTCAGGATTTTTGCCTTATTACTGCGTTCATTTCAGGTTGATAGTAAAAGCTGGCTGTGTTGCACTGGAAGCTCTTTGCAAGGGCTGGTCTGTTTTAGGGACTGGGCTAACCCAGTGTTTACATTTCCCATCATAGTGTGAAGAGTTTTTCTCAGGGAGAAACATTAAAGTGCCCTGATGGTTTGAAAGCAGCCCTGTGCAACGTAACTGCAACGTGCTCTGAGCAGAGTGAACAAGTCAGGGGAGGCACACACACACACGTGCTTGTTGACACACTGCCCCTTTGTGTTTATTTACCATGTTGATTTGGCTTTTCATGTATTCCAGAGGAAGATGGGGATCATTCTCCTGCTGCTCAGGCACTGGCCCGAGCAAATAGCATTAATCTTGCAAAGAGCATGGTGAACATTTACACAACAACAGAGAGTGAGTAACACCTTTTTTTCTCCTTTTTGGTTTACATTCCCTGAAGGTAACATATTATACCGAGTTCTGCATCCCTGGTGCTTTTGTGCATATACCAGAAAAGGAAAATGATATATTGTTTCATCATCAAATTAGAGAGCCTATAGTGCCTAAAATGAAATTCAGGGCCAGGAAATTGCAGCTAGATGGATGGTATATTACTCAGTGTCTTCAGCAAAAAACACGGGGGCTTCAAAGGGTTGTCAAGAAGCTCTCCTCTTCCCTCGGCAAGTACTGCTCTGTTGTACAGGGCAGTGTTCTACGAGGTGGAAATGTGAGCATGTTTGGTTTCTTTGACAAGGAGGCAGATCTGTATGGGCTTAGTCTAAATTAAATTTACACAAAGTGGTGCAAACAAGATACACATCCTTAGGCTAATAAGTTAATTAAATTAGCCACTAGAGGGAGTTTGCACACTCCCACACGTTGAGCGAAAACACATTGGAAATAGCTTTAAGAGGTTAGCTGGCAGTTTTTGTTTTGGGGAGGGGCAACTTCAATGGCAGATGACAGAGGTGGGGCAAGTGAGTGGAACTCCAGGGCGTCCCACAAGCTTTTCCTCCTTCCTTATGCCCTTAAACAAACCTGTGACTTTCTTATATTTTCCTCACTCTGTGACAAGCTATCTTGATGCCTTTTTTTGTTTGTACCTGCAGCATACAATAAACCTCATTTGATACCTCATCAGTTTCTTGAACCTGAAAGAGTCAAAGACCTGAGCAGATCCTCTCCTCTCCTGTTGTCTGAGGTAGGCTAGGTGCCAGAAATGGCTGGAATAATGTTCACAGCATCTCTGTCAGTTTCATGAGAGTGTTTCTCCCGAACACTGACAGTACTTGCTTTAGAGCATGCCCTGGTTATGCCATAAATAAATCAGAAAAACCTTAAGAAAAAAGCCCCCAATAACCTGAACCAACCCTTCTATCCTGGACGAGTTTTAGTATTTCCCTGTCTCAAACCACCCTCTCCTTCCCAAGAACCCAGGCTCTGTTTGGAGGCAGTTAATGATGACGTTCGCTGCCGGTCGGAGGGAATGCCTCTGGGGAGACTCCCTGCATTCTCCTCCGCTCTCCTAACCTGATCGCTGCTTAATGGGACTCTGCTGAGCTATTGGTTTTTCTCTGTAGTGTTGCAAAGTGCTCATACGGCAGAGCTTTAAGATGCTTGTTATTTTCTGAGCAGACTGAATCAGACACGGCTTCAGAAATCAGCTTCCAGTTTAACAAGCACAAAAAGACGCCTAGCATTGGCAGCCACTCGTCCGACATGGCATCTGTCTCTTCGGTAGGTATTTAATGCGCACATCTCGCTAGATAGGGTTTCTCAGTCAGATGCAGTGATGCTGCATTTAGGCTGATAATGATGATGTGGCCCCCGGAGCATCCTGTTGGTTTCTGCATGGTACGTTATTAAAAGAACGGTGATGGTTAATTACTTACTTACGTTAAAGGAGTATCTCCAGGTACCATCTCAAATTAGAGACCCTCTGGATCATTGTTAGACAAATTCACAGTAAGTGATAGCCCCCACTCTGAAGTGGGGGTGCTCTGAAGGCTGGCAGCGTGCAGAAGAGAGGGGGAGCTTTTTCTAGGTGGGCAGGTGAGACACACAGCTATTGAGTGACATGTTTGTGGTCCAGCTCCAAGAGAGCTGGGATGGCAGACGAGTGCCCTCTGCAAGCTCATCCTTCACTGTATCAGCAAATTCGAGCTGCAGCACAAGAGCATGATTTAGAGCTTCAACTTCTAAGGAAAGCTGAAAAGAACTAAGAGTGTTTAGTTGAGCATTTTTAAAACATTCCTTAGAGACAGTGGTTTGGGGGGACGCTGCTTAAATATGCTTGAATTTGCTGTATTACTGTTAGAGCTTTCTCCAAGGTGTATATGTGAGATTTGAAGAATATATTTGAAGCAAAGCTGGTAGGGAAAGGTCATGAATGTAGATAAAGATGATAAAAATATCCTTAAACATTAGGGCACATGAGTCCTTCTCCTAGTCTGGAGAGTCTGGGAGCCATAAATGGGCCTTTTGTGTCCAAGTCATACAGGTATTCTTGAAAATCTCACTCAGGATTCCCTGGTGGGGTATGTTGTTGGGATGGTCTGTGCAGCTCCAAGGACTGAGAGGGAGATGCTTAGCAGGTTCCTGTAGGATATAGTGGTAAGACGTTCAGAACCAAAGGAAGTAGGGGAAGACAGAGAAGAATTGAGTTAATTACTAGGAAAGTTGTTTGATAAATGTTCATGGCTGTACCACAGAAAAGTGCCAAGGGGGTTAATTATTTGCTTTGTCAACAGCATTAGCTTTCATGTTATCCCTTCAGGAATCTTCAGTGATTAGTGCAACAGAAAATTCTCTCATCTTTCTGGAGCTGTTTTGTTTCTGCTTCATCGCTTTCTACCAGTGAAAGGCAAAACCTTGAAAAAGAACTCCAAGGCCTATGAGGAAATGCAGTTTGTTCTGGGAAAGCACATGACTCTTGGGTGCCTGCCTCCCGATTTATACCTGTAGAAACATCATTTTGCTGTGCCTTTGTGGCAAGTAGATGAACACAGGCTGCCTCTGGTGGGACAGTGGCTCTTCAGGACAGGGGTTATATGTATTTCTGTTCTGTCCAGCTCCATACACGTTGTGAGCAAGCAACAAGATAGTTTTCCTATATTTCTAGTCTGATATGGTTCTTACTAACCTATTTTAAGTATTGGTTGAGAATTGTGTGACTATATCTACCAGAAATAATATGTTCATGTACAGGTAGTTCAAGTTCAGTTGTCTCAATATATTTCTTGCTCAGTGATGAGACTGGATCAGGATAGCAGCTGTTTGTACTGTAAGCATAGGGAAAGGGAAAACATTTGTGTGCCTCCCCCCCAGTAATATTTGACTGCTTCTCAAAGTCATGGGGTTTAGAGGTGAAAAATCTTCTGCGTTTATTGAACATTCAGGAAAATAGTGCTTCTAAGTCGTGGTCTAGGATAGCACATCCTTATGAGACCCTTATTCAGGTTCCCTTTCCCTTGCTTGTTCAAGTACAGCTACAGATGCGTACCGTTTCTGTGCCAAGGACACCACACTACACAAGGTCTGAAATTGCAGATTATTTCTCTGGGAATGCACTTTTCAGATGGTCATTTTTGTCCAGAAACCAAGTCAGGAGGGTGCCTGTGTCATTGGCACTGACCTTGCTCTTCCACCTGGCAGGTGAGTGGCAGCGTGCTCAGTGTCTACAGTGGCGATTTTGGGAGTGTGGATGCCCAAGGTACCGTGGAGTTTGCTCTAGACTATGATGAGAAGAACCGAGAGTTCCAGGTTCATGTGTCCCAGTGCAGGGACTTGGCTGTTGTGGATGAGAAGAAAGGCAGATCTGACCCGTGAGTGATGCTTTGATGCCATGTGACTTCTACGTTGCTAAATTTTTTGTTCTAGAGGATTTCTTTTCTTATGCTTTCTCTTTTTAAAAGCCATGGTTTCTTCCTTCCTTCAGACTTCTGGTGCATGCTTACTGCTGGGACTTTCCTAGCTGATGGTTCTGGAGCCATTGGCATCAATAAATATGTTGCCACAGACATAAATTTGAACAGATTGAGACAGCTTTGATCACTACCAACAGTTCCTGTTATCACTGGAATATGTTCTTTCTGCATCCATGTGAATCTTGATCTCCTCATGGTGAATACACTTTGGTAATAACGCTGGTGATGCAGACACATCTATATGAAAAGAAAGTCTGTGAAGAAGTGCTGTTAGGGGCACAATGGTAGTTGTACAGTGGTTTGTGATCTCTGCTTTGAAAGATGATGAAAAGGGGCTTGAATTTGAACTCCGAGAGAGAGACTTAAAGACATTTCACCTTTTTCCTCCTCTCTGATTTCACCCTGATTTTGAATGCACAGAGATGATATAGTTATGAGCATTTCAGAAAATGGACGTATGGCCTTGTTGGCTTCCCATATTGCCTAGGCAGCTGCCTGTTCTGAATGTTGGTGGCATCCACCCATCCCCAGTTCTGTTTATAACTTCACATGCAAACCAAGTTAATATCCTAGTTCTCTATTAGTTTTGCCTTCAAAGATTCAACTCCAGGTCTTCTGTTCCCATGTCACCATTCACAAGTGTTGCCTGCTTATTAGAGCTTGGTGATACAGAACAATATCCAGCTCAAGTTTGTTTTCCAGGTATGTTAAAACTTACCTGCTCCCAGACAAAGCTAGAATGGGAAAGAGGAAGACTTCAGTGAAGAAGAGGACAGTGAATCCCATTTACAATGAGGTGTTACGGGTAAGACCAAATATATGCTCTGAAAACCCGTGTTGTAGCAGGCAGCTGTACCAGGTCAGGCCTGGAAAGATCCTGCCTTTGTGGCCAGGCTTCTTCACCTGCCCCCCACCAGCATTGTGTTGCTCTTCCCTGGGGTTTGTGAGGGCAGAGATGTTAAAGGTTTCTCTGCACCCATCTGTGTGGCACCCAAGATATCAAAACACATAGTGATCTTTGGATGAGATGGGAACCTGCAGCCTGTGCTGTCTTCAGCCAGAGCAAGGAGTGTTCTTCTTCCCTGGTGTGCAGTCACAAGGTATGGGACTAGTAAGAAAGGTTTTTGTTATGTCATCTTACTCATCAAAGCCTAGAGGGTTATTTAACAATGCCTGGGCCTGTGTTAATGATTCTTGAAAGACTATGGGTTTTGCCCTGTGATGAACAGAGCACTAGGTTTCCCTGTCCTCAGCAGAAAAAGCTTTGTCAGGGTAGTAGTATTGCTGCAGGACAAAAAAAGAGGTGTTCAGAGCAGAGCTAGTCCGTTAGCACATGTGTGGAGTGGGTTTGAGTGTCTCACTCAGAGCTTATTCAAGCTTTTGAGTAGTTTATTTCCGACTGTGAAAGAAGCAGAAGAAAAATTTGAACCACCTGACTTCTCTTTCCTCCTCTAGTATAAAATAGAGAAAATGGTATTGCTGATCCAGAAATTAAATCTCTCTGTTTGGCACAATGACCCACTGGGACGTAACAGTTTCTTGGGAGAGATCGAAATCGACTTGGCCAGCTGGGACTGGAGCAACAGGAAACTCAACTGGTACCCACTGAAGCCCCGAGTAAGTGCACCTCAACTGCAGTCCCTCCCCCTAGCCCAGCCCTGAAGCCTTTAGGGGGTGGCAGAAGTCCTTCCTGACTCCCCTGAGGTCTTTGGGGGGTGTGGTGGAGCAGAACAGCCTGAATTGTACCTAGGGAAGTGCAGTAAAACACCCACAAGCCCTGGACACGTTAGTGCAGTATTCAGTGCCCTGAGCTCAGGCCTTCTTGCATCTTATTTGGTGACTGATCTGCAGGGACACTTTCATAAATGTGATCTGACACTAATCAACAGAAACTCTGACATGACTTTGCCTCTCTCTCTACTCACATAAAGACCATCCCTTAAAAATAGACAGCAGAGTACTAGGTGATGCAGTTGAAGATGCCTTGAGAGGTAAATATTCAGGTGCCACTTTTTGTAAAGCCTGTTCTGCTTCCTGCGTGCTTCTGGGTTCAGTGGTCTGATTGGAGATCCCTTTTCAGAAAATAAAGGACGTTTGTCTTTCAGAACTAAGATGCTTAACTATGTCGGGCAACATGTCTGGAAGAGCAGCCTTGCTCTGAATCCTCAGGCTGTTGCTTATGAGGGGCTGAATTTGAGAACAAAGCCACAAAGAGAGGAGCTGCCCTGAGAACGGGCTGCCCCAGCCATGCAAAATCTGGGTTTGTCCATTTGTGCCACTCCACTGAACTCAAAAGCTGTTTGCCTTGCTATGTTTATACAATCCCTCATTTAGTCAATCGTAACTCTTTCTATTTCAGAGCCTTTCTGCTGTTAACGGTGTGGATCATCGAGGAGTGATGAATTTGTCTATTAAGTATGTCCCTCCAGGAAGCCTAGGTAAAATGTGTTTCATGCCTTGAGAAGTATTGCCCATATGCAGGCACACCACTTGCAATGCCTCATCTGCTTGAGGGCTGGCTAAAGAGTAATCTCATTAGAGCAAGATCTTAGAGATCAAGCACAAAGGCACAACGAGCAGTGCTTGATAGCGCTTTCTGCAGCCTACATCTGATTTTCACATCTGGTTTTATCGGGGAGTGTTGAGGAGAGAGGAAGGGCTGAAGAACCTCAAACTCGTCAGCTGTTGTGAGCACTGTGGGGTGCTGTGGTGTGGTGACAGCAACACACAGCCCCGCTTACAGTGGGGCAGGCACAAGGTTGGGTTTGCCCAGTAGTTCCTTCTCCTCAAAGCAGCACCAGCACGTTGTAGGGCTGGTAATAGTGTTGGGGCACCCAGGTAGAAGGGTGCAGAGCTCCTGAGGGAGTGAGTGCACAGAGAAGTCATGTTGCTGCACCCTCAGGTCCCTGGAGATGAAGCCTGTCATTTTGCAAGCTGTTGTAAGGACTGGCCATGACAGTGTTTCTCTTCTCCTAAATGGCAGGTCCCAAGAATCCTCCCTCTGGTGAAGTTCACATTTGGGTCAAAGATGTCAAGGACCTGCTGCAGTTGCGTCCTTCTGGAGTTGACTCCTTTGTGAAATGGTAAGTGCATGAGAATGGTCTTGGCTTTGGTCCTGGGATTGTGCCTCCACAAAACAGTATGTTTTCTTCTTTTTTTCTCAGGGTCCCCTACTTGTGCTTCCTTACTGTAAAGCCTTCAGGTTGCTTTGGGCTCCGTAGGAGAGAATTGCCCTTGTTATTAACTTGTGGCCAAATTTGGAAAATCCTTGCTGTGATAAAGCTCTTGGTCAGTCACTGGCTGTGACTCACTCAGTGATTTGCTTCAGTAATATCTGAGTGAGAGGAGTACGTGGGGCCTGTGCCTCGGCCCAGTGTGTTCACATGAAGTTGTGAATTTCACCTTGATATGGGCTTGCGTGCAAAGTTTGGGAATTTGTTAGGGATTTGCCAGGACTGACATACAGACAGCTGGATCCTGCTTTCATCTTCTCCAGAATTTAATGTGTGCATGTTTTCTGCAGCCTGCAACATCAGTTCTGCCTGTTATAGGGCAGAGGGTGCTGCAAATATATTAAAAAAAAATAGTCTTTTAAGGGGATTTTAAGATTTGGTTTTAAAAGTTTGCTGCTTAAGAAGCCTAACTGACCATTTTGACGTGCCCTCTTGGCCATCAAAGTGCTGAAAAATTTGTGAAAATAGAAATATGACATTTTTATTGTAAAATGTGAGTTTGCAAAAAAGGTTTGCCAAAAGCAGGAAATTTTAAGCATGTACCCCCTTTTCTGAAAATTTTTGCTTTTCAAATGGATTTTCTTGGAAAAGAAAAGCTTCATCTGGGAATTAGGAACATTTCACATTAAATCCATGGAGATTTCTTATCTAGAGACCCAATTCCTCCTTTCTTCAGAACTGAGGCTTCTTTAGACGGAGAAACTTTGTAGGAGCAATTCAAACCTCAGGTGATATTTTATCCTACATGCTGTATTTTTTCTTCTCTCAAAGCTATGTGCTTCCAGACACCAGTAAGAAGAGTTATCAAAAGACCCGAGTCATAAAGAGAGACACAAACCCTGTTTTCAATCACACTATTGTATATGACGGCTTTCATACAGAGGATCTAAAGGATGCTTGTGTTGAACTGACTGTGTGGGATCATGAAAAACTTACCAACCATTTCCTTGGAGGAATCAGGCTGGGCCTCGGGACAGGTAAGTAATTTCCTTTACCTCAAATGACTACTGTTAACCATATTGCTGAGCCACAAGGTACAATGTGAAGTTGCAGAGCATTTTCCCGTTGGGGAGAACAAGGGATGGAGGGTCTAGGTAATTGGTGAGAATCTTGGTGCTTGCGATGTGTTTGGGATGGAGGGGGCCCTGGTACCATGATAGCAGTCCTCTATACCCACATTTTCTGCCAACATCAGCTCTGAGGTCTGGCCATCCTCAAGAATCTTGTTGGGTCCATCAGAGAACTTTTAGGCTGTTACAGGAAAACAGACTGCATTACACATCAACATTTTATTGCTGCTTCTCCCAGGGAAGAGTGCTCAGAGATGAAGACAACTTGAATGCCATGTGGGACAGCACCACCTGGTGACTCTGTCCTCATCACCTTCTCCCTTGAAATGCTTTAGTAGCAGAAATAACTAATATTTGAAAAACAGGGTGAGCTGTGCTAGTTGATCTGAGCCCAATATTATTTTCCGTGGCAGGTTATGTTTAGGGTTCTTGCATTTTGTGGCTTTTACATTGACTTAATTCTGAACTCTGCTGTAAAATGGAGGTCATTAGCAGAAGAATAGGTGTTTAGGGTGCAACTTGCTGAGGGGAAGTCAGCACCTTTCATGTTAAGGCACTGCCTGCAACAGTTCCATCCCATTGAGTATTTTTGCATGGAGCAGAAGCTCTTTATGTAGCTCCCAACATTGTAGTTCTCTTGTTCTTTTCAGGTTTGAGCTATGGCATCTCTGTGGACTGGATGGACTCCACGCAAGAGGAGGTGGCCTTTTGGCAGGAGATGATGTCGGCTGCCAATGAATGGATTGAGGGATTGCTGCCACTGCGCTCACTGGCAGGGAGGAAAAAACTGAAATAACATACTATTCTGCAGTAGAAGGGCTGAGTGTGTTCATTGCAATTAGGAACCTTCCTGCACCAAGGTGATCGAGACCATCTACGGGGCTGGCAAGTGACAGGTTAATAAGGCAACTGATGGACAGCACTTTGGAGTGTTAAATGTTAAGTACTAATTAATTCCCTGACAAAGGACATGGAAGATGCCAAACTGAGGCTATACTTGATTTTTACCGAGAAGAAACTTAGTTTGCCTTTTTATTTAATCATTTATATTCTGTATCTTTGCATTGCATTAAGCTCTGGAAACAGTGGCAAAAGGAAAAGGAGATATAGATATTTTTATTTTTTTACTGTTTCTTGTGCCTATTTTTTTTTCTGTGCAGAGATGTAGTTGTACTAAAGCAGCAGTGTGGTATTATTCATATTCCCCTGCAAGTGGTACACTTTGTACTTGATGTAGAATTGCTCCAAGTCACCAGCAGCACAGGCTGAGAATGGGAGCTTTGCATTTGTCGCTGGTGATAACTCGTCTCTAACGTGAGGAAAATTGAGATCCAAGGTGAGTCTAAAGAAAGACAGGACTATTTGAAGCAGAAAATGGATCAACCTGAGGAGGATAACAATGAAGAATTCAATGTATTAATTTCTTTCTGCTTTAATATGAAAGAGAGAAGTGATGCAGCTAGTGTGGGATTTTGCAGCCAGGGGCTGTTTTCTTAGCTTTCCCACGGTGACCTCAGGCACGTTTCTCTATGAAAGGACAGTTTCAGTGCAATATAAACTAAAGCGCTTGCCCAAATGGAAAATGTGGTTACATTGCCAACGGGCCTAATCGCACCTTTGAAATGCCTTGTGTGCAAAACATTTCAATATGAAATAATGATGTAGGAAACTGTCTCGTGTTAGGCTGGCACAACGGGTCAGGAAAGAAAGGTCAAAAGCACACTGGGACGCAGGAGATGTTGGGAGCTGTTGGGAGAGGTAAGTAGGGAGTGAATGAACGCAAAGGGTGACTGGGGTGGTGTCCAGCCTCTGCACACCCTGCTCCCCGTCTGCTCTCCCTTTCTCCTGGTGCCTGTCAGCACGTTGTCTGGGGCTGGAATTTCCTTCTTGCCAGTGGCTTGCAAGGACTTTGCATCTGGCACATTGGCCGTGGCAGAGTGGCGGTGTGAATGCATTTTGAAATGCAGCTTTGTAATTTCTATTTTGGATGTACATATTGTGATTAAATAGAATGTTTTTCTTTAGTCATCAACTGGTGTCCTTGTACCTATTTTTAGCATGATCTAAGTAACAAAAAAGCAAGCAAAAGAGGTGTTAAATTTTGTCATGTCAAAATGAAACATTTTTGCCCAAGGGCAGGTGAAGTGTCATGGAGAAATATTTTTTGAAGCTATCCTACCCTAGATTTTGGCTCTGTGAATATTTTCATATTCTTCTTTAATGTATTGATTTTATTTAACTCAAGCTCAGCATAAATTTTGAGCTTAGCAAGGATGGTTGTGAATAACTGAATGGAAAAATGTACACTTAAAATAACAAGACTTTTTCATGAAATGAAGACATTTGGGAGATAATCAGCGGCTTTTATGGGAAAATATAAAGATGACAGTTTTGAAATTGGAAAAAGATAATACTTGAAAATGTACCAGTTATAGTACTGAAAACACTAAGAGAAAGAGTCTGTAGAGCAACAGAATTAATGACTATCTAATGAAGGAACTGATATATATGTAGCATGTCAGCCCAAAGATACTTTGCATGGGCTCCATCCTGGCATGTTTTGTTCACCAAGGTTTGGTTATTTATTGCCTTTGTGGGATAAAATAACAATATTGAGCCCAAAACGAGAGTTTTAAAATTATTATCTTTATCTGTTTAGGTGCTAAACATGTGAATATTTATGCATACATATAACTTACCTGCTACCAGGACCCCTGCTCACCAGTGCAATGGCTTGTTGCAGGGAGGGTACCCACAGGACTCCTCCTCTCACCCCGAGTGCTTCCTTACCTTCTCTCCATCGCAAAAATTGAGTCATCCCACCTCTTCCTCCTCCTCATCCTTCTCCTCCTCCTCACGTGTGGTATTAGCACATGAGTTTGTGACGACGTTGCCAAAGCTGCTGTTTGCGTCAATGGAGCTGGAAATGTTTGTGTTGGTGTTTCAGCAAATTAGCATCTTTTTCATTGGTGGTGCTAATAGGCTAAAAAGGGTGTCAGTGGGCCGGTTTCATCCCAGCACGGTTGCTTTTATGAACTTGGCCCAGGACTTTGTGAACAGACTATTTTTGCATTCAGATTCCGTTGAGGATTTTTGTTAATCTTTTGGTGACTTGTTTATTTAAATTAAGCCCTGATTAAGTTAAGAAGCTTTCTTTGCCATTTAATAGTTTATCAGAGAAAAAGATTATGCTGCCAAACCACACGCACATTTGAACACAGCTGTATTTGAGGTAGTAAAATTTGCTGCCTGTGAATGCTGCATCTAACAGAGACTTGGGCCCATAGGCATGTGCTGATGGTAACATGGGTTGGGTGGTAACTGGTCAAAAAAAAAGGAAAAAACAAATGGAAAGTAAGACTTCATGCATGTAGTAAATGTGGTTTTTAAGTCTCTCATTTCCCTGAGTATGAGCATGTGGGTACCAGTGTCGCAGCGGGGGCTGACTGCAGCCACCGAGCTCTTGCTGGAGACAGGAGTGACCCCGGGCTCTGAGCGGGCCCAGGCAATGTGAGGTTACAGGCACTGTCCCCAAAACATGAAATACAAACCTCAGCATCTACAGCTGGGCACCTGCTTTCCACAAGTGTTCTGCATTTGAGCATGAATGTGCTTCCTTTGAGTTTGTGCCTTATTTATATAACTTTTTTTCAGGAACCTTCCAAGCAAAAAAAAAGGAGAGAAAGCAAGAGTCTGGAAAGCATTTCTGCCCCATCAGGCAAATAAAATCTGTGGCCTGTGTCAAACTGTTCATATTACAGGTATCAGAAACTATTGAAAAGAGCTTAGAAACTCAAAAGAAGAGAAAGAAAGAATTGTTGAATCTTGAGCAACATCCAGTGAATGAGTGTCTCGGAGGAGATGGAAAAGAGGTGGTTGAATTAATTATCCATTACTAAATATTTGCTCAGCTTTATCCTTCACCAAGACAGGAAAAAAAATTGAAGTACTATGGAGATTCAGGGAGAAAATTGCACTGGCTAAATAAACCCATGTAATATGTGATCTGTTAAAATAAGAAATGCTCTATTTTCGCAGGCGTGTTGAATTAAGTCAAAAAATGTATCAAATAGACTGGTGTATAAAAACTGAGTAAATAAACACATGTTAGTTCCTGATAACTAAAAGTGAGCATATTCAGCACCAAGTTGGATTGTTTTAGCTGGCTGTTTTGGACTTTAGTATCTTTCATGGCTTAATCCTTTTTCTTTTCCACCTGCCTACTTTCCACCCCTCAGGTGTCCAGGTCATCTGCTGTTACTGTTAAAATGGATGCCCAGGAGATGTCCCTCTTGAGTGCTGTCACAAAGGTTGTTGGAAGACATTGAGAAGCTCACTGTAAAGCACCATGCAAAAGCATGTTTGCAAAGACACCATAAGGTAAGTGTTACTGGAGCTGTGCTGCTTTTGGCAGCATCACTGCTGCTCAAGGTCCTGCTGACCTGCGGAAAGCTCTTGGAACAAAAGTCCCTTCCCATGGGGTCAGACAGGAGCAGCCACTTTTTTCCAGGGGCGGCACTTTTGGGGATGCTCCCTGTACTGGTGGCTGTGCCACAAGGAGCAGCTCTCCCAGTGCGGGTCAGGGTGAAGTTTGTGGGGCCACAGGAGGATTCTTGAGTGTGTTTTGGTACTGCAGTACCAGCTCCTGGCCGATTGTGAGCAGTAGATGGCTGATTTGTAGCAATGAGGTTTGAGCAAGAGCAAGCAACTCTGAGGTGGCCTTTCCCACTTTTGGGGTGGTGGCCAGCTTTTCCCACCCTTCTGAACACATTGGTTGGTTGGAGGTTGCTGAGTCAGCTCAGAGCAGCACAGAAACTGAGCATTGGCCTCCAGGAGGCCTATGGAGAAATTACGATTAATGGCTTGTATGAGATCTTTTTCTTCCGAGAGAGGGATGGACATGGTGAAGAGCTGGAAGTGTCTCCTCCAGGAGCCCTACAGAAGTTCAGCAGCCCTAGACTGGTTTTGCTTTTGCATTAGTTTTCCATGTACTCAGCTGAAATGCTGCATGTCAGATAGTGAAATCTGAATGAAGTTGGGTGAAGGTGTCTGCTGGCAGTGTCCTGCAAGGAGTGAAAAAATGACAAACAGGAGCAGGGTCTGAGCTTGCCAGGCTTGCTGGTCACACCAGGGTCATGCTGGAGGGCTCGGTTAGCATCCCTGCTGGAGAGGGGCTGGTGGTGGTGCAGTCATTTCCCTGCAAGCCACCTGGCGTAGGTACTTAAGCAGGGAGATATTTGCTTTTTAAAATGCTGTAAAATTGTAGTATGGCTGGACTTGTCTCTGGGCTGTGGTGACCCAAACTAGCTAAGCCAGCCCTGCTTTAATAGATTGTTTTAGGAGGAAAGGAATGAATCCTGAGTATGAAGGCACTTCTGCTGGTCAGTTTTCCTTTTTTTTCCAGGACTGCAGCCAGAGTTTAGCAAAATACTTGGCATTCTGTATTTTGTATGGAAAATATACAGCACCGAGGAAAGGAATGAATCCTGAGTATGAAGGCACTTCTGCTGGTCAGTTTTCCTTTTTTTTCCAGGACTGCAGCCAGAGTTTAGCAAAATACTTGGCATTCTGTATTTTGTATGGGAAATATACAGAGCCACAGTCCTACCCCCTGCAGCACCTTAAAGACCTGCACAAATAGTCCTCAACAGGCATTGCAGCTTCTGATAAAAAGGCATGTGTTTAGTGGTGTTGAACAGCGCAAGTGTATTTTGCATTTTCTTATTCTGCAGACCTGCCTGTGCTGCTGCTAAATTTGAGACACTACCAGTAGGAACAGAAATCAGATTTCATGCATCTAACAACCCGTAATGCCATCCTGCTAGTTATTAACAATCCAAAGTAGCTCTTGAGCTGTAGGCAAGCAGTCTGAGCTCTGGACTTGGAGGGGAAGCTAAGGAGCTGTTTTCTGGCAGCGTAAGTAGCTCAGACACCCGCTCTGTAGGAAGAAAAATCACAATAACCTCTTTTCCTCTCCTCCTCTCTCTCCCACTCACCATTACTAATTTATCCTGATTGTAATGGCTTCTATTTGCTCTAAGCGGATCTTGTTCCCTTCCTGGGAAGACTTGAACAGCTACAAGGACATAATATTCCCAGTGGAGAATCTGTTCTTGGATTCAGGCAGACTCAGGCAGACTCAAGCTCTTGATGGGAGCCCCCCTTTTTCGACTGGCCAACCCATATCCATTTTAATGTGATCATGATCTGAAATAAGACACTGGGAGCTGCATCTGGAGTAAACTATCCCATGGTGATGAGCTGACGTTTAATTTATTGTCACAGGGAAACGTTTTGTAAATGTTTTACATCTCTTCAAAAACCCACCTGACTCTTGCTCCATGGGGCTGGAGGCTATGTTGTGTGGGTGCTGTGTGGCACCAGAGGGTGGCCCTGTCACTTGCAGGGATGCAGGGACAAGTTTATCCCCTGTGCACATCCACCCATGTGGATCACACTGTATGAGAGTTTAATCTTCCTTGTCTGTTCAGGCTGCAAAGCAAATGCTAACACTGCCCTGGGGCGCTGGTTTTGACTCGAAAGGCCTCTCTGGTTATTTTGAAGTTTCTCTGCGTTTGTGTCTCTCCCACATTCTCCCACTGGCACAGATCCTGACTGGCTTTGCAGCCTGGTCACTCTGGTGGTGGTAAACTCCTTGGGAGCAGGCAGAGCCTCCTGCTCAGGGGATGGGGCAATTCAAGCTGTCTGAGGCAGGGCAGCTGCTCTGTGCTGGACCCCTCCTTCCACTATGGCCAAGGGAGTGAGCGGTAGTGGTGGAGGATGGTTCATCCCATCAAGCTGAGTGGGATAAATAGCTCTAAAGATGTTCCTGTTGGCTACAGAAGGAGCCTGGGCACCTTGTGTAGGAGAGACATTTAGGTAATTTGTCCCTATATTACAGGGCATCATTAATGAGACAGCCAGCATCACTCAGCCATGACTATATTTATCAAACCTGTGTCTGCTCTACTGCTTTTGATTTGATCCCAGTGTGACACTGGGGGACCAGTGGTACCTCTGCAGGATTGCAACCCTGGGACCCCAGCCAGGATGGCTTGGAGCTGCCATACTGGTCTGCAGTATTCCATTGCGGATTGCAACCCTGGGACCCCAGCCAGGATGCTTGGAGCTGCCATACCGGTCTGCAATATTCCATTGCTCACTAAAAACGTTTTGCAGACAGGTTGGCGTTTGGGGAGGGGGGTTAGACAAATTTCCTGGGGACAGAGGCTGCCAGTCTGCCACAGAAGTCACCACTACAAAAGGCTCCTGAGCCCAGCCAAAAGCCAAGGTGGGACAGAAGTTTCACCATGTGCCTCCTGGCATTCAGCCCTGCCTGTGCTTCCCTCCTGCTACTGCTGTTGGAGGCTCTAAGGCTGTCACCTGGTCACAAAGTCCTAAATTACGCTCCCAGTGCCTGCTGTCAGCTGGGCTGTCAGTTTCTGAGCACCATGTGGTGCCCTTGGCTTTACGCTTGTCTGCACCACCCTGACTAACTGTGGGCATCAGATAAATAATAAACATTAATTCGCTTAATACCTTCCCTCCGTCCTGGGTTTTACAGTGGCACGCATCAGCTAGCAGGTTATGGGTGTGATCTGTCAACAGTGTCATCTCTCTCTGTGTCACAGCTCCTGGACAGGCCTAATTTAACAGTGATGTTTTTTGGAACCAGCTAATAAATAGCTATAGCTGGATAACGTGTGGTTATCTAGCCCCGTTCTCAGAACTCCCACTACCCTGGTGTGTGGCCCTTGCTGCTTTCAGTAAGTAGTGGGTCTCTGGCCTGTTTGGTAGTGTACACTCGCGGGGCTCTGCTTGTGTGCTGTTTCTCTCTGCCGTGATGAGTAGCCCCATTGCAAGTGGGGCTGGGATATAAGACCTGTGAGAGCCAGGGGTGTCAGCCTGTGGGTCCAGGTGCTCTGTTTCACTGTTGTGTTGCGGTCGCTGCACCTTCCCAGGCTGGGCACGGGCCATCTCAGGCAGCTCCCGTGCAGCCAGCCCCGCAGCGAGGGATTGTGTCTGATTGATTGTTTTTTGTATCCTTGGAAACTGAAAGGGCATTAAAATTGCATGGTGTGTGCAGTGCTGATGCACTCTGCTCCTCACAGTGCTGCCATGGGCTTGGAGATGGCGTCAGCCTCCGGCTGCCAGCTACGGGGTGTAAAGGGCACTGGCTGGTTTTGGAGAAAAACTAAACTACAACTGGATGACAAAGTATTTAGAGGGAAGAACCTCTGACCCCTAGCCATCCCTGACCATGGCTCAGCACCTTCTCTGTGGCCCAGCCACAGTGAGCCTGGGCCTCACAGCAGAGAGCTCCTGCCCGAGAGGAGCTGCCTGCCTTCAAACATCCCAGCCCAGCCCCAGCCAGGCTCTTAATGCAGGGTTGCATGGCAGCAGTTCCTGCTGTTCAGAGCACATGTGGCACTCACCGCCCGCCAGCATGTAATGGGTTGGAACTGGGCTCTTAAAAGCCCCCCCTAAGCATGTGTTTAGGGCTTCATCATCTAACGCTAAAAGGAAGTTCATGTACTTGCTCTGGGATAGAGACTATGGGCAGCGCAGAGTAGCAAGGGAGTTGTTCTCCAGCCCTTGCCCCCTTTTGTCCCAGCTTTCCCGCCTCAAAATAAATTTCCTAAATAAGAAAACATCCAGTGGTGGTGTGTGAATGTTTTTCACCTTGTGCAGGAGCTGCAGGCACAGGCGACCCTGGGGAAGGGCTTTAACCCCCGTTTGGCTGTACGCAGTGCAGGGCTGTACAGCGGTGCTGCCTGCACGGAGCTGGGATGGACCCATGGGGGCTGCCAGCAGACGCAAGAGCTCAGCCTGAGTGCGCCAGTTCAGCCATACCCTCACCCATGCTGGGGTCATTTTCAGGCAGCTCTACCCCTGTTTGAGAATGAAGAGGTTCCTCTGGACTCACTCCCGGCCCCAGGGGAAGGAGCCGGGAAGGGCTGCCCCTAATCCCGGGCTGCTGACAGCCTGTGGGGGCTGCACCGTCGGAGAACACACTCCTGTGGCTTCTCACCAGCACCCGCTGCCCTGTCCCCAGCCAGCAAACCTGCTTTTGCATCAAATCTAGGTTACTCTCTGCCTCTCGCTTTCAACACACCAGATTTTCCATTTGCTAAAACGGTACCAGAACAAAGGCTCTCCCAGGATCTCATTTTCTCCTACCTTCTCAGTTGCTGCTAATTAATATCGTGGCTGCCTAGTCACGCAGCGTGTGTTCATCTATATGCATGTGTTCAGGGAAGATGAAAATAATATCTGCATCACGGGATCCTGCGGGCTTATTTGCTGGGAAAAACGGGTCCCTGACGCTCCAGGAATTCCTCTAGTTCCGACAGCATCTGCTGGGCACCAGCCCACCCCTTGGGGCTCTCCTTGGCTCCTCACAGCCAGGGTGCTTCGACTGCTCCCAGATGTAGTTCATGCTGCTGCTATCAGATGTCCACCAGCGCAGGAGATGCTGGTGATGGTCAATTTGCAGGGTGTCTTTCTGAGCACCTTATGCTGCTGGAGCACGGTCAGACCTACGGAAGATGGGGAATGTGGACGATGGTGTGTGCGTGAGTGCATGGGGAAGAGGGGAAAACACGTGAGGAGAAACCACAGTCTGTTGTGGGCTTGAACTAATGGGCATCGGACGCTCAGAAATCATACGATAAAGTGCAACAGATCCCCACAAAGCATCGCTGGCAATGAGTCACTGGGTAATGCACTGCTAACTCAGATTTATAGGTTTAATATTTTTCTGTTGCCGTGCAGAGTGCCTCATCAGTTTTCTTTCCTGTCCTGAGGTACGTTAAAATAAGATCTTTTGGGGTTGTTATTTTTTAATAAATATATTGTATTTCAAAGAATATTGAAAAAAATTCCTCGTCATTTATACCTCAAGACTCGAAACGGTCTCTTTAATGTCCTAGTCCAATTTACAAGCTGGCTAACTAGCTCATACCTATATAAATGTCCTTTTTTTGAGTATCTAATGAATATAATATCCACCATGAATGTGTTTAATTTCATTAGTGGTCACGCAGAAGGAGCTCTTTTTAATGAAACCATCTTTATTTAAAAAAAAAAACCCAACAACAACACTTTTGTAAGTTTTAAATAAGAAAACGCATCAATAGTCCTCTTTTCCAATATCTGACTTAATGCACACATTTTAGTCACCGTTTTTAATAATACACATGCTCGTTTTCCCTTCCAGAGATCAAAACTCCGCTCTGGCAAGTGCTGAGCAGGCAGGCGCTCGAGCTCGGCCGCACCCCACGGAGCCAGGCGAGCACAGCCCCGTGCCACCAGTTTGGGACAGGCTGAGTCTGGGGACATCCTGGTCCGAGCCGGGACTGGCACTGCCAGGTATGTGTACAGGCTGCCTTCACTGCCGCTCAGGGTCCTGAGCACTGTGCTGCGTCTGCCGAGCCCCGAACCCACTCCGGCCGAGAGAGGGAAAATGGGCTCATTAAGGTTTGTGGTATTTAAGTTGCTGGGTATTTAATGTCTGTATTCATTTTTGAGACAGTACACACATCATATATATATGTACACACACACACACATACATAAATGTGTTTGTGCAGGCAGATGTGGTGGGTTTCATGAGTCTGTCAGTACGACACCTTACCATTACCTTTGTCCCTTTGCAGACCGGGCTGACATGGCGCAGGTGACCCAGGGCAGCGCTGGACCATCTCCAAACCTGCCAGGAGCACCTGGGCTCCCCCCCCCGCGTTAGATGTCAACGGAAGCGAAGCCCCCAACACAGTGGTGAGGATCTCTCTAGAAATTAGACTCGGATTTAAAATACATAAAGGTGTTTTGTGCCCTGCTCAACTCCCCCCTCGCCCCTGGCGGGAAAGGCCAGACTCGGCCTGCGCCCCTTACCCTTGGGCTCCGCCTGGCACCCCTGCTCCCCTTGGCCCTGCGCTCCGCACGGCCCCCCTCTGCACCCGGCTCCCTCAGCCGCCGGGGACCCCCTTTGCACCCGGCTCCCCTCAGCCGCCGGGGACCCCCTCAGCCGCGTGTCCCCTCAGCCCCCGGAGCTCCGCTCAGCCGCGGTCTCCCCCCGGCCGCCCCGCACGGTCCCGCCCCGCCCCGCCCCGCACGGCTCCCGCAGCCGCCGCGTTTCGGGGGTGGCGGCTCCTCCCGGC